AAAGCTCCCTTCCTCCAAAGGCCATCTGCCTTGCCCAGCACTGAGAGGGTTCTGCCTCACAGCAAGTGCAAGTCCACCAGAAGCTCCCCCCTCCCCGGTAGGCAGATTTGGAAATGTGTCTGGCAGCCTCAAGCCTCCAAAGGACAGACTTCAGTGTCTTACTGTTGGGCTTACTGTCTACTGAAGGCCGTAGACAGAGCATGCCAACTCCAGCCAATCCACGGTCCTTGCGGACCTCGAGTGTCTCTCAACCGTACCTCGTCCCTGAGCTCCTGGCATCCTACTCCCGAAGACCACATTTCGTGGACTCTAGGCTACCAACGCCCACCTCATCTTAGACACAGTACCCTGACACAGATGTGCAGGGGCTTCTGACCTGCGAACCGACTCAAGGCCTTGCCCGCTAGGCTAGTGCTCACCACGGAGCTGCATCCCCACCCACACCTTTCTCGTCTCTGCGCTCTGAAGTTATGACACAACCCCTTCCGGGTCTCATTGCTTCCAAGGAGAGGACTGAATTCCTGTATCTGTTCAAGTCATTTTCCACTGTCAACTTAAAATCAGGGAGAAGTCACACTCCGGAAACATCAGCGGGTATATCCAGAGCGTTTTAAGTGAGGAGGGAAGACGGACACCATCCCATGGTCGGGGTACTGGCTTGGTAAAGGGGGGGAGGCGAAGCAAGCAGCATTCAGCTCTCTGTCCTTCCTGACTGCAGACACCCTGTGACCCCGCCTTGCGCTCTCTCCTACAGCCCCACCTAGAGCCATGGCGGCCACCGTCTTCTCTCTGCAATGGGCTATGGACCCCCTAAAACTGAGCCAAGATGAAACTTTCTTTCCTTAACTCACTTTTGTCAGCCAGCTTCATCACGGTGATGCAGTGAGAAAAAGTGACTGACACAGTCATTATCCAGCCTCGTCCAGCCCTGGTTCAGGTTGATACGGAGCATAGAGTTTGGTAAGGACAATAACGCAAACAGAACCAGGAAAAAAAAAAAAAAAAAAAAAGGAAACGCATGTTAATGATAAATGCTATGCTAAGAAGGTGTGGGTAGTGTCGTGGCTTGAGTATGAAATGTCTCCCCCAGACCCCCGGAAGTGGGACTAGAATCTACCCCTGGTGCATGAGCTGGCTTTTTGAAACTCATTCCCTACGTGGAATGCCTTGCTCATCCTTGATGCAGGGGGAGGGGCTTGGTCCTGCCTCAACTTGATAAGCCAGGCTTCATTGACTCCCCATGGGGTAGGGAGTGGAGGAGGGAATAGGAGGAGGGGAGGGAGGGGAAGCTGTGGTTGGTATGTAAAACGAATTTAAAAATTAGGAATGTCTCCACAGGCCCATGTGTCTGAACACTGTCCTCCAAGGTCACGCATGGAACCTTTAGGATGGGGAACCTTGTGGAGGAAGTTAATCCTGGGGACCAGCTTTGAGGCTTTATCACCGAGCCCCGCGTCCTGCTCTCCCCCCCCCCCCCCGCTGCCACCGCTGCCACCGCCATGTTTCCTATGTGGGAATGAAACTTAGACTTTCTGCTTCCTGACGGCCAGGCCATTGTGATGTTTTTGCTGCCATGTTTTTCTTGCTGCAACGGACTGTACCCCAACAAATCCCTTCTCCCATAAGTTGTTTTTGTCAGGGTCTTTTATCCCAGCAATAGACAAGCACAGGACAGGGCGGGCCTCTCTGGAAGTGATACTTGATGAAGGTTAAATAACTAAAAGGAGCCAGGCTTGCCAAGAACAATGAGCTTAATTATCGTAAGGAAAGAGAAGCTCAGTGTGTCCACAAATGTGAGTAAAGGCTGTGTGGTGTCTGGTCTGGGTGGTCTGGAATGGAGGGCACACGCGTGTGAGAGATTGTCTGTTTAAATAGGTGACTCCACCTCCACTCTGGGCCTGTGTGTAGGAAGACACAGCTCTGACCAGAGCTTCTTCACATAGGAAGGAAGACAGGCTGTAGCCTGGGCCACACCTTATGCCGGAAGCCCATATAAGGACAAGGAAGGAGGAAGATTTTGCTCTTTGTCTACTTGCCCTCACCTGACTAGCACATTCATTCCTTCTTCTAAACAATTGCTAGATTGAGTCTTGGACTTTGCATTCAGTTAGCCATTGCTGGATTAGTTGGACTACAGTCTGTAAGTCATTCAAATAAATTGCCTTTTTATACACATAGAGAGACTCATCCATGCGTGATGTGACTCTACAGAACCCTGACTAATGCAGGCCAGTATGGTGGCACCTTGAGTGAGAGAGGAGGGGGGGGGGAAACCTGGGCAAGTGAGTAAGTACCCTAACCTGTAGGGCTCTAAGTTAGAAACAGGGTTTGGAATTTTTCCCACGTGTCACAAGAAACCATCAAACGTTTTCACTAGGGAGGAGTATATTAAGAGTTAATTTTTGAAAGATCACTGTCCACATCTAAAGTAAACTACAACTTTTTCCTATCCAACTTCCTTATGCACATCCTTCTGGAAATTTGATTTTCCCCCTCCCTGGACACGCATGTGACTTAGGGTTGGCCAACCACAGTATCCCATTTCCTGCACACGATCATTGGTTCAGCGTAGTCATGTGACATAGGCAGAACCTTCCTTGTGACTCTTGGTTTGGGGCTGAAGAAGTAGCTTTGGCGTCTGGGATCTGTGGCTGAAAGAATGTGAAACCAGCCATCTTTATTTTTTCTTTCCTTTTTAAAAACATGTATTTATCTCGTGCGTGTGTGTGTGTGTGCACGAGCACACATGTGCCAGAGCATGCATGTAGGGGTCAATGGACAACTGGAGTGGGTTCTCTCTTCCCATGTGGGCTCTGGAGATCAAACGTGGCAGCAGCCGCCCTGTCTACCTCTACAAGCGGACGGCGCAGAGCGAGAGGAGGAAACTGACAGGAAGACGGAGAGTGAGCCTCCCCCAGCACCGAACCCCGGCCCCAGAGGTCGGCACCCTGACTCCCAAAGTCCTTTCTGCAGTCCTCAGAGTGTCCTGTTTCTGTCTTCTCTGCTAAGTGAGCCATGAAGGTTTCTCATTTTACTGAACCTGGCCCTTCTTAAGGCCAGGGCATGCTAGCGTATACTTGTAGTTCCAGGATTTGGGGTAACGGAAACAGGGGAATCACACACTCTGGGTCAGTCTGGTACACAGTGGGATCAAGGCCAGCCTGAGGCATGTACTACACATGAACTGGTCTCAGGAAAAACAAAACAAAACAAAAATCCTCACTTCAGCATCTCTTCCTTAGCGGCATTTTGCGCAATCTCCATTATTCTGAAGGGAAATCCACTTCCATCTTGAACATGGAACAGCACAAGGACTTCGTGCGTCTGTCCCTTCCACAGAGAAGCAGTGATGATGTGTGGCCCCTGGGCTAGCAGAAGGAAACCTTGGCTATCAGCACTGCTCAAAATGTTAAGATTCGAGAGCTGGAAGGATGGAGGGCTCAGCAATTAAAGCACTCGCTATACTTCAGAAAGTCTGAGTTCAGTTCCCAGCACCCACATCAAGTACCTCACAACTGCCGGTAACTTTAACTCCAGGGATCCAAATGCCCTCTTCTGGCCTCTGGAGGTACCTGCATCTCACACACACACACACACACACACACACACACACACACACACACGATTTAACATAAATAAATAAATCGCAGAGCTGACTGAAGCTGAGACATGAGTGGCTAGGACCCACCCAGAGATGATCCAAGGCCAGGTCTCTGTGAAAGGACCCCCCCCCCCTTCTACCGCATGGGGCTCACAGTGACTGTATCTGTCACAATTATCACGTGGTTAAGCTATGATGGTGTAATAAAGATATAGTGACAAAATCAGCCCCTACTGCTATAGGCAATGCTTTATTGTTTATACATTTCCTCGTTTGGTCCTTGCAGCAACCCTGAGGTAGGTATATCCCCACTTTACAGATGAATAAGCCAACGTCCCTATGGGCCAACGATCCCACGCAAACCCACCGATAACTCCACACCCAAGGGGACTCTTGAGTAGTTCACAGGCTGCTGTCAAGGAAAGTAGAACAGAAAATGTCAGCTGCAAAGGGCTGCATCAGCACTGGAGACCGAGGCCCCTCACCAGGTGGGGAGAGGTATAGTCACAGGCCAAGACCAGGACTGAGCAGAGTACATAGGGATTACAAAGCACGTGCAGAGCCAATGACTGCATACATGCTAGATCTCCAGCGGCAACATGTCCAGGGTCTGGCCACAGGCAGCAGGGAATGAGGACCTGCCACACAGCAGCACCTCCTCCACATGTGGCGACTGTGGGCAGTGGTCCCCGAACCTCATTAAGGCCATTACAACCTCCAAAACAGACACAAATGGACGGACATTTTGCATATAATTTCCGGGAGCCCGTGGGCCCCAGCTGGGGGAGACCCCTGCTTTAGGGCAAGGGCGAAAGTCGCTGAGTCAGATCCACCTTCAACCTGCTCCTACTCCTCCCTGTACACATTTCTGGGCTCCTTTTGTTATCCCCCAATATTTAGAATGTTGTGAAGTTAATTTTACAGGGGAGCCAAGAGAAGAGGGCTCAGCCTCCACTCCAGCCAGGGAAAGCACAGCAGGGGCGTGGCAGTGGTGGCAGCCAGAGGGTAAAGAGAAGGGTGGGACCACACGCCCTGCCGCCCTTCCCACCAAGAAGGTCACTTCAGGAACTTTGCTCAAAGTCAGAGAAGCTCTGCGGGCTGATGGGGGTTCGGTTTCCCTCACTGGCTACAGAGGATAAAGTTGTACGGGCAATGTCCCCCATCCCCTCCCCCAAAAGCACCCAGGCACCGGCCCTGCCATTCATGCACACATGGACAGGTGTTCTAGGCACACCAGTGTATAGACACACACTCTTCCAGGAACAAAGGGAAACAGATGGGAAAGATCTCAAGGCAGTCAGGGGATCATGCACTCCCCCGTCAGCAAACTGGAAAGTCGTACAGCCTCACAGCCACACAAACACACGGCTACACCAGCCCCAGCGGCTCTTGTGGTGTGGTGCTCCCTTCTGTCCAGGGCCCGCCACAAAGCAAGTCAGAGCTATGCCCTTGCTCCTTCCCACAACTAAAGGACCCAAGATCTCGAGGGCCACGGCAGAAGGGTCACAGGGATTGACCTCTCGCAGGAATCGGGCAAAGGTCCGGCCCTCGGCTTATCCAGGTCCTGAGGGCAGACACTGACCTCCAGGTGATCACACAGACTCCAAGAGAACGGAGCAGCCGTGGTCATCTCCCAGGCCCAGTAACCCTGGTCTTGGCAGTTGCTAGTTGCAGGAACTGCTCATGGGCTGGCAGTCATTTTCCTGACTCTAGATGGACGTCTCATCACAGGTGGCCAGAGGAGCCCCAGTGAGCCGGATGTGGGCTGGGCTTGAGCAGGAGTCTAGCAGGAAGGGCGGGGGGAAACCACCAAAACCACTGCCCCTCTTGGCCAGGGCCAGGGGCAGCCGCTCGTCTTCAGGAGAAGGGGAGGGCGGGTCCTGGCTATAGCTTGTGGTCCCAGAAGGTGGAGCCCCCAGGTCTAAGCCCACCTTGTCTCTAGCCAGAAGCTCCCTCTGCCGCCGACGCTGCTGACGGCGACCAATCAGGAGGAGAGTAAGGGATGCTGCCAGAACCCCCAGGAAAAAGCCAACCAGCCCAGCCCCCACCACAGCATGGACCCGGTTTGAGGGCCCCTGCTGGCTGCCCCACACCAAGCTGTAAGCAGCCACCACACGGGCTGCTCCGCCCTCCTGACATTCGCAAGCATAGGCACCCATGGCCCCAGGGGTCACCACCACCTCTAGCCCATCTCTTCGGGGGGCGAGTGCAGTCACTCCGCTGGGCTGATGCCATACACAGGATGCCCACGCGGAGCTGGGGGAACATGGCAGGACCACATGGCCCTTGGTAGTCACTGGAACTTCAAACACTACCGGGCGTTCTGTAGAGAGAAGGCACAGAGGACAGGAGCTTACTAGGATGAAGGGCATATGGAGTGCCGTCAGATGTGGAGTCGTAGGGACATTGCCATAAAGGATTCCCAAGGAGGGGAAGGCCCTGTGTCCCTGGACGCCATGTCTTCACAGGTCGGGGTTTTTCGACTGAGTCAAAAGTGAACAACTTCCTAGCCCCTTTCTCTATATTCCATCCACATTTCATTGAGCCATACAGACCTCCGGGCTCTTTCGGACACAAAGAGGAGACATCCGCTGACTCTATGTCTTGGACCATCCTACAAAGAAGAGAATGTCTGGTAAGTCTAAAGTTCGCATGTGCCTGCATCCTCCTCAGAACCTCGCGGTACCACGGTACTCAAGTATCACGGTACCACACAGCCCACCATCTCCCCACCACCAAATCTTTCCTTAATACCCCTCATGTTCCTTAAGGCATTTGCCCTGTCAAATTCCATACATAATTCCTAGCAGACAATCTGTTGGAAAGGTGCTTGGTGGGTATGCCCTAAAAGGAAGAGAAACGTCCTAAGAAGTGACACTGGCTGTCCATAACTACAAGATCTCCCTTATTTAAACCTGAGTGGTCCCGGGAGGTGACTCAGCAGGTGGGGATTCTGGTTGTACAACGAGAACTTAAGCTTAAACGTCCCAGCCCCATGTCAAAGGCTGGGTGTGAGGTCAGGCTGGTGGTACACCACATGGCTTCAAAACAGGAAGTCTCAGTGTTACTCTGAAATTGCATTCTGCAAACAGCTGGCCAAAGAAATATTCCATTGAGGGAATCATTATTAAAGATTAACAACTGAGAATTTCGTTCAGGAGAGGATGCCTGCCTATCATGTGCAGACCCCAGGTTAGAATCAGGCATGGATCATGAGACCCATAGTCTCAGTGTGTGGGGGGACGAGGCAGGAGAGATCACTATGAATCTGAGGCCAGCCCAGGTTATATAGAATGAGTTCTAGCTCGGTTATCTACAGTGGACTGTAGCCCAACCCGGGCTACAGATCAAGACCTCATCTCAATTTTTTTTTTTTCAAATTGAGGGGCATGTATGAAACATAAGCCTATTAGGATTGATGGTATTATTTGAATCTTGACTTATAACAGGTTGTTTATGCAAGTATAGGTAAATGAGAAAACGCAAACATTGACAGGATATTTGATAACACTAAGAAATTAAGAATTGGGTATGGCCAGGCAGTGATGCTACACACCTTCAACCCCAGCAATCGGGAGGCAGAGATTGGTGGATCTCTGTGAGTTCAAGGCCAGCCTGGTCTACAGAGGGAGTTCCAGGACATCTAGAGCTGTTACACAGAGAAACCTTGTCTCAAAAAACAAAAAAATAAAAAATAAAATAAAATAAAAATAAAAAAGAAAAGAAAAGAAAAGAAAAAAGAAAAAGAAAGGAATAAAAAAAGAAAGGGGGAATTGGGTATGGCTACAGTAGTTAGTAGGTAGTATTACTCATTATGTAATATGGCTATTTACTTTGCATGTATGTGTGTGTGTGTGTGTGTGTGTGTTTGTGTGTGCACACAAGTGGACATGAACATTGTGTGCATACACGGGGAGGTCAGAGGACAATTTCAGGTGTCACTCCTTAGGCAGCCTCCACCTTTTTTTCCCCTCAGGCCCACTATGTGTGTGCAGTGTCCTCAGAGGCCAGAAGAGGGCTCTGGAGCCCCTGGAACTGGGAGTCATCATGTAGGTGCTGAGAATTCAATCTGTATCTTCTAGAAGAGCAGCCTTCTAGCATCCCTCCACTACCACCTTTTAACGTGCCCTTGTATGTTAGAGATAACGCAAAGATTCATGGATAAAGCAGTATGATATCTAAGATTTGCTTCCAAATAACAGGGGTGAAGTTGTTAAGAACACAGGCTTGGCCAGGCATCAGTGGTGGGAAGGGGAAGGGGTGGTGGATATATGGAAATTTATCATATTAGCCTCTCTACTTTTGAATGTGTTTAAAGTTTCCAAGAGTAAAATGTTTTCAGGCGAGTCTTCATGGGATAGAGAGCCAGGCTGAAATGCTCAGGGAGAGCGAGACATCAGGAGTTTGCTTCTATACGGCATATTTTTAAGGTCACTGCTAAGAGGCGAATGGGTACTAGAACCCTAAGTAAGCGAGAGCAGGTCAGCGAGGAGGGTGAAGAGCGGCCCAGAGAGAAGCAACTGCGTTGGGGGACGGATGGCTCAGCGGATGAAGTGCTTGCTGCACAGACCTGGTGGGATGAGTTTGGTCCCCAGAACACACAAGTTGGTCATAGCAGGAAGGTCTCTACCCTCCCAGGGATCCCAATGCACCCCTGCTGACGGAGGAGGAGAAGGAGGAAGAGACAGAACTGGGAGCTTGCAGGAAGCTAGCTTGAACACACAATAGTGAATCACAAGACAGACCTTGTCTCAGAGTAGAAGGTGAAGACTAGTACCTGAGGTTGTCCTCTGCTTTCCACACATACGCAGTGGCAATAACACACACTTGCTGGCCCTCATATCTACACATATCCCCCCTTTCTTGCATCATAATACATCATACGGACACATAATGGCAGTGGAGGTGGAGGTACCCAGGAGAGCAATGATACATTCTGGATCTGGGGTTGATATCAATCGCAGTACAACGTGCACCATGTCTGGTACGAGCAGCGTGTCTGCTGTGTCGTTTTACTGAGGTGTGCGTGTGAGGGAAAGAGGAAAGCACACTGTGTGCTTACACTGGATGTGTCTGGGCTGCTTATGAAGTATAGGCATACACGGGGCATTATCTTAACGATGTAAAGATGTGTCACACTTGTTTATGCTGCGGGGATATTACTTTAACTGTGTAAATGTGTGTTACATTTGTGTATGCTGCGTTGGTTTAATGATGTAAGGATGTGTTACATTTGTTTCTTCTGCCTTTGTTAATGATATAAGAATGTGTTACATTTGTCTGTGCTGTGCTTCTTTAATGACTTAAGGATGTGTTACATTTGTTTCCTCTGCTCTTGGTAATGATGTAAGGATGTGTTACATTTGTTTCTTCTGCCCTTGGTAATGATGTAAGGATGTGTTACATTTGTTTCTTCTGCCCTTGGTAATGATGTAAGGACGTGTTACATTTGTTGCAGTAAGGATGTGTTACATTTGTTTCTTCTGCCTTTGTTAATGATGTAAGGATGTGTTACATTTGTTGCAGTAAGGATGTGTTACATTTGTTTCTTCTGCCTTTGGTAATGATGGAAGGATGTGTTACATTTGTTTCACCTTGCCTGCCTAAGGCACCTGAGTGGTCTAATAAAAAGCTTTACCGTCAATGGCTAGTCAGGAGAGGGACAGGCAGGTCTGGCAGGCAGTGAGAATAAGTAAGAGGAGAGAATGAGGGAGAAAGGGACACACCTGGGGCCAGAAGCCAGATACCCTCCAGACTTGAGAAGCAGGGAGGGAGGGAGGGAGAACCCCCAAGGCAAAACACAGATGCAGACAACGAGATAATTTAAGTTATAAGAGCTAGCGGGACAGGCATAAGATAAGGCCAAGCATCCATAACTAAGAAGTCTCCATGTCATGATTTGGGAGCTGGTTGGTGGCCCAAAAAAACAAAGCCTGGTACGATGCAGCTCTGCTGAGACATGTTTGTGACAACCACAGGAATGAAATCACCTAAGCAGAGTGTAAAAGAGGAGTCTAGGACTAAACCCTGAGTACCAGTGACATTTAGTGGCTGGGGAAGGAGACAGATCGCTGTCTCCTTCCCCAGGAGAGAGGAGGAGGGAAATTCCAGCAAGGGGGGAAGGGCAACTGTGAGAGCATCCGGTGAAGGCGGGGATGACATTTTATCACTAGACCCAAGAGAAATGATAAATGGGTGTTTATTGAGGAACAATTACACAGAAAAATACCAAGAACCAAAGGAGGTTTCCCTGCTTTCCCTACGGGGTTCGAGGATCCAACAGAAAAAAAAAAAAAAAAAAAAAAAAAGAAAAAAGAAAAGAAAAGAAAAGAAAAAAGGGCAAAGGAAAGCCACACCTCAAGCTCCTTCCTCTCTTTTCACTTCCATCCACTTGAAGCCACACCCAAAGGGTTGCAGCCACCATTTCAGGGCCACAGACCAGATGCCTACAATTCCCCTTTTAGTCTAAAGAAGGTTTTCAGCCTGATGCAAAAACTATATACAATGATAACATATGCCAAGTATACTCCAGGAGAAGGAAAGGTAAACATACACTAATTAAAACCTATTTTCAGCAAGAGCAACACTGAGCAATAAATACATACACTACATGTCTAGTACACGTGTTCTGTATCAGGGCAAAGGCATGACAGAGATTACTGTGATAGCAGTCCTACTCTGGAAAGTCTAAATCTTGTCTATCTAAGATAAGAGAGGGTATTGCTACGACTCTCATCTTCAACTTCATCAAAGACCCAAGAAGGGAAATAACAATACTAGGGTAGGCAGGAAGCGCAAGCGTGCGACTTCCAAAGGCACAAGCGAAGACAGAGACAGCAGGCTACCTCAGATCTCACAGCGACGTCTCCTAGAGATTGTGTCACCAGCTGACACAGACTAAGTCCCATTGTCAGGACAGGCCTAGCATTAATTAGGCAGCACCAGACAGACGGACAGACGATGAACTAATAAGGGCTGACAGACAGGCAAGTGCTGCAGACAGACACTGAAGAAGAAGGCACACACAGACAGGGTGGCATCAGCAGGTGAGTCAGGCATACGGGAGGGGCGGAGCCACAGAGAGCAGGCATGCAGCCCCACTCACCCACGGCGCTCCCCTGCATGGGCCACACAAGCATCAAGCCGGAAGCTCCAGGCGCACACAGGGTCCCGGGCCAGGATGCACTCGGAGCAGCTCTGGAGACGTCCACAGTCACTGGTGTTTACTTGTGTCACCTCGGTATGGGAGCCCACCAGGAGCCAACCCTACAGAAATGAGCCAGGGGAGAAAATGCGCTAACCCTTCCAGAGCAGACCGCGAGCTGGCCGCAGCCTTGGTTCTCCCCGCCCGGCTCACATGGTACAGTTTCATGCTCTCAACCGGCTGTGGCTCTGGGAACAAGGCCAGATCTTCCAGGATGCTGAGCTGAGCTCCGATGCGCACGGCCCGGTGGATGTGTCCATCCTCTAGAAGGCGGGCAAAGGGCGTGACTGACACCTTGCCTGGGACTCAGACTCCAGCGTGTCACAGAGAAGCGCTCTGTCGTGACAGCACCCACTACGCAGGCGACTTGCTTGATGTTTAAACGTACCTGTCCCCAGGTAGAGCACATCATATTCTTTCCCTGAGAGGCTGGTCACCCTGTGGGCCACAACTCTGAGATACGCTGTGTCTGTGGTGACCAGCAGGGGGCGGCCATCGGCTGGGAACACGGGCCTGTCCATGAGCGGGTGGTCTCGGATGAAGGTGAGGACGCGGTCAGGCAGGGCGAGTGAGGATCCAAACTGCTGGAGCTTCATGTTGTTGGTGATACACTGAAGGAGACGGGGCTGGGTGACTATGTTTCTCAGGGGACCGGAAGTGTCAGGGGTGAGGACCTGCCCTGCCCTGCCCCCTCACCTCTCCAGGTCTGGGCTGGGGCACCTCGTTGTCCATGACAGGCAGTCCCCTGTTGCAGTCATGCTTCAGGTCTCTGAAGGGACCATTCAGCACGGCCCGGATGTCCTGGGGTCGGAAGGCGCACACAGCACAGATGGCAGCTCCTTCCCTGGAGGAGTCACAGGTTGGAGCCAGGGATCTGGAGAGGGGCTAGGTGACAGCAACTCATGCCTTATCAGCCATGCGGCTGAGGGAGAGTCCGCCTGCACTGACCACACCGACTCCACGGACCTCCCACACTGTCACTCTCGCCCGCACCGAGGCCCCCTCACCACTGAGAGGAAAAGATGCCATAAAAGACAGGCGTGCCCGCTCTAAGCTGAGGTCGAAGCTCGGTCATGTCCTGCAGGACCCCAGAGGCCTGCCCACGCTCAGGCCCTGGACACAGCAGGTCAGCCTTTAGAAATGTTGTCCATCTCTGTTGAAGGGTCTTCCGGCCCCCAAGGTCCCCCTGGGGTGACAAGAACACGGCAAACACTCTTCAGAAGGACCAACATTAGGCAAAACGGGTGTAGTTTCCTCCCTGACTTCGCAGCACACACGGCCAGGTGAGGACACAGCCATACAGAAACGGAGGGACAGAGCTCAGGCCGAGGAACTGGGGTCAATGCAATGCAGAGGTGGGCAGAGGCGTGACCACATGGACAGTGACAAAGTCAGCCCAGGTCTTACAAAGAACCATGACCTCAACTATTCTTTAAGACACGGGATGATGCCAGTTATTATGTAAATTCTGCATGTGTTTCAAAGGTGCTAGAGAATAGACCAGATCACAGGGGCAGGAAGTGCTGGGGCAGGACTTGAACCTGGGTCCATCATTAGCTCCTGCCTTGAACTTCTAATGTAAATGTGTCACAGGGTAAGCGTGGGGGTAGAGACAGAGCACACTCCCTCGCATCCCTCCAGCTCCCATGAAAGAAGCCTCCACAGAGAACAAAGCAGAGGAGACCCAGAGAGAAGACAGATGACAGACAGCCAGGACAGAGGATCTCACCGCACACACTCGGGCCACCCGTGGGACCTTGATGCGCTCATATGAGTTCAACACTCGGGAGGTCTCCGTGAAGAAGAAGAAGATTTCGTCATCTCCCTCTTCATCGCCCCACTCAGCCGGGGTCAGGACCATCGCCGAGACAAAGGCTGGGGCTGAAGAAACCAATGACCTCAGATCTTCACAGTCACAGCCTGGGGCTCCCCCGCCTCCACCCGACCTGTGTCACAGGGGACCCTGTCCCTCTCCCCACCATTAAGCCAGGATGACAAGGTCTCTGTTCGAATCCAGTCCTCAGCGCGACCCACAGCTCGGGAGATAATCGGTTCCGTCCCCAGGAAGTTTTTCACAGTGGCGGTGTAGAGGACGCCCCCTGCAGGGCGACAGGGAGGAGAGGGGCTGTCACAGACACACACCCAGAGGCAGAGGCAGTCACAGGCAGAGCATGGGATAAAGCAGAGCAGCAACACTGAGCACCCACCAAATGTCCACAGGGGAACTGGAAAGGGAGTGTTGGAGGAAGCCCGCACGGGAGACTACCATGTGCCAGGAGCACAAACGCCCGTCCAGTGACCGCGGGGTAACGTGCTGATGAGCTGACCGTCCTGAGACTCCCCAGGACGTGGCATTTGCTTTGCAGCAAAGCCAGTCTCACTCCACTATGGAGCAGTCAGGGAAGCTGTGCTCTTCCTGAGCATCGCTGGGCACACTACTCTAGAACACTCCACAACTAAAGAGCCTACTGGAATTGCTGGGAGATGCGATGACAGTGAATTCTGTCTCAGGCCCAGCAATTCCAACTCGGTAAAATCGGGACATGTCCCAACACCCTGCATTTCAAACAAGCAGGAGTCAGTCTGATACAAGTGGTTCGGGCCTCACTTTGGGAGATGCCAGCCCAGTTTGATGAGAGGACACTTCAGTACTTTAGTGAGGAATGGGGCTCTTCCTCCTGTACAGAAACTGTTGCAAGCACTCTGGGAACAGCAGTGGTTAGAGAACAAAGAAACCACAAACACTTTGGTTCCGAGAGATGGACGGCTCTGTCACCAGGACTAACGTGGGCAGAGGCTCAGACACAGGAATAAAAAGGGGGTGCGGACAAAAGAAAGGCATTTGGAAGGTCTCTAGCACCACGGGCACTCTGGGAAAAGCAGCGTGGCAGGAGCCCACCAGCTCCTGCACAAAGGCACTGTGCTGAACACATCACCGACCCCACAGGCTCCCACTGGGATGAGGAAGACAAGCATATGTTCAGAGACCAGGGGTCCTGAACTAGTAGATGGAGGTGGGCACAGAGGATGGAGAAGGGACAGGGAGGGAAACCAGGACCCTGCATAAGCTGGGCAAGTGTCCCACCAACTGAGCTATATCCCCACCGCACAGCAGCTCTGAAGAATAAAGTCTGCCAGTTAGAGCACTTCAGGGAGAAAGACAGGAAAGACATGACTAGAGGAGCCATATTCAGGCATAAGGACCATGGAGACTGACACCCAGAGGCTTCTGGGCCAAGCAAGTGAGTAGAGGCAAGGTAGAAGCATGGGGTGTGCTCTATTTGTGAAGTGTGCTCTGTCATGCCAGCAAGTGTAGTCTTTATCCCACAGAGAAGAATAGAGCTGCGGAGATTTTTTTTTTTTTTTTTTAATGGGGAGAGTAATATAATCAACTTGTGGTTTTTAAGAAAGTAATGAAGGCTGGAGGTGTAGCTCAATGGTAGAGTATGGGCCCAATAAACCCACAGTCCTGGGTTAGAAGCCCACAGTGATGACGACGACAATAGGAATGGGGGAGAGCAGAGTCTGTAATCCCAGCGGTAGGAAGACTGAGGCAAGAAGATGACAAATTGAATCCCAGCCTGAATTACAAAGCACAGGGCTGTCAAAAGGAGAGGAGAAGGGCCAGGCACAGTTGTGCACAGCTTTCATCACAGGACTCTGGAAGCAAAGGCAGACAGATCTCCGTGAGTTCAAAGCCAGCCTGGTCTACACAGCAAGTTCTAGGACAGCCAGGGCTGTCTCAGCGGTTAAGAGCACTATCTGCTCTTACAGAGGGCCTGAGTTCCAGTTCCCAGCAACCACATGGAGGCTCACAACCTTCCTTAGACTCTAGACCCAGAGGATCCTACCCCCTCTCCTGGCCTCCTTGGGTCCTGCAGGCATGTGGTACCCAGCCATACATGCAAAATGCACATACACATGAAATGAAAATGGGGAGAGGAGGAAGAAGCCACCCCTACATTCAATTTACTGTGTGATGTTTTTACTTGTGAATTCGTTAAAACAGCATGATTTTTACATTTAAAAAAAGAAGAGGAGGAGGAAGGGAAGGAAAAGTGGAATGACGGAGAGAATGAAAGAGGAAAGAGGAGGAGGCAGGGGATGAGACCAACAGAGGGCCGTTCACACAGTTCAAGGAGAGTGGAAAGCCAGGCGCTGCTGGCGCACTCGGGAGGCAGAGGCGGGCGCTGCTGGCGCACTCGGGAGGCAGAGGCGGGCGCTGCTGGCGCACTCGGGAGGCAGAGGCGGGCGCTGCTGGCGCACTCGGGAGGCAGAGGCGGGCGCTGCTGGCGCACTCGGGAGGCAGAGGCTGGCGCTGCTGGCGCACTCGGGAGGCAGAGGCGGGCGCTGCTGGCGCACTCGGGAGGCAGAGGCGGGCGGAACGCTGTGAGCTCCAGGCCAGCCTGATCTACAAGAGCAAGTTCCAGGACAGCTTCCAAAGCTGACTCGGGGTGGGGGAAGAGGAGTAGAAGACCCGGGGAAGGCGGAGAGAATGAAGGGGACGGGCTAAGAAGGTATTCCTAAGGTGGAGTGTGTTAGTAAGGGTTGGAAAGGGTTTCAGCGTCACAAGACTTCGGTTTGAACTCTGTCTGCTTACTAGATAGTATGATCCTGGGCAAACTGACTTTCCTAAATTTTAGATTCTTCAGATGCAGAATGGATAGAAAGCCACCTTGAAATCAGAATTAATGCAGGTGCTAGATAACAATTGCAGAGCCCTAGCGAGAGACTGGCAGATGGTAGGCACGCGGCACAATCAGTTACAGCTCCCTGTGAAACTCCAGAGACATATGCTTGACTTGCTGCTAGGAGAGGACGGGCAGCTGACAAATGACACCACAATCCCTTCCAGAGAAGTTTAGAGAAGAAAACCCAAAGATCGGTCATAGGTCCCAGCAACAAGTGGAACCCACGTGAGGCAACTCTACTGGCGAGGCGGTAGGTGGAGAGATACAGAAAAGCTGGTTGAAAAATGGTCCCGAGCCAGGTGGTGGTGACACCGCCTTTAACAGCAGCACTTGGAGGCAGAGGCAAGTGGATCTCTGAGTTCAAGGCCAACCTAGTTTACCGAGCAAGTTCCAGGACAGTCAGGGACACACAGAGAAATACCATCTCAGAGAGGAAAGGGAAAAGGAAAAGGAAAGGGAAGGGGAAGGGAAAAGGAAGGGGAAAGGGAAAAGGAAGGGGAAAGGGAAAGGAAAGGGAAATGGAAAAGGAAAGAGAAAGGGAAAAGGAAGGGGAAAGGGAAGGGAAAAGGAAAGGGGAAAAGGAAAGGGGAAGGGAAAAGGAAGGGGAAAAGGAAAAGGGTCCTAACACCAAACAGACGACTCTAAAACTCTGGCAGAAGTTGTCCTGAGGATGGAAGATGAGAGGAGACAATTATGCATGTCTAGAGAGCGTGTCTTTAGGGATCCAGCTGATAAATCATCAATGGATAGGGACCACAGATAAGCACGCAAAGGCCTAGCTACCACTGGAGGCAAATGGTCCCAAAATGTGCTAAGGGATCAATTCCCTGCAGAGCTAGCAATGATGGAACCTGCTAATGCAGAGACTGTCACTCAGGGCGGAAGGGAAATGGTCACTGAGTGAAGAAGACACCTTGGGATGGAATAAGCAGGTGTCCAGGTGCCCCGGGAGAATAAGGGGCTAACCCCGGCCTCAAATAAACACAGGAGGACATCAACCACACAGGCACGAAGACCATGTCCACAGAGGACATACGCATTCTAGATTCTCCAAGACTTTCTCAATACCTTAATACAGTAAAATGTTCATAAATGTGCAACTGTATGGCCAATTATTGCTGACTGGATCGATCAGTAAACGTTCATATACACATCTGGCTCAGTGGTGCATGCCAGGAAATCCCAACATTTAGAAAGCTGAAGTAGGAGTTTTAGGTACTCAGGTCAGCCTGAAATACCCAGAGAGACCCCATCTCAAGAGGCTGAGGGCAGGGCCCAGTGGTGCACGCCTTTAATCCCAGCACTGCGGAGGCAGAGGCAGGTGAATTTCCAGGCTAGCCTGGTCTACATAATGAGTTCCAGGTCATTCAGAGCTACATAGTGAGGCCTAGTCTCAATAAATAAATAAACAAATAAAACAAAACAAAAAAGCCTGAGGTCTGGGGGTGGAACTCAGCAGTAAGATGCTTGCAAAGGCCCTGTGATCTAACCTCACCGCCAAAAAAAAAATGATAATAAAAACTAAAAAGCATGTAAAGCAGAGTGGTAAGATGGCCGTGGCATAGTGACCACAGCGTTAGGTAGAGTTTCGTGAACGCTGGTAATTTTAGTGAACACGGGATAACTCAGTCCTGTTTTCATAAAGCATATGTAAATATACACATATACAGGAGCTTGGGGAGCACTTAGCGGGTAAGAACACGTCTGTGTAAGCATGAGGAAGGACCTGAGTTCAGATCCCCAGCACCCACATAAAAAGCCGACATCACGTGCAGCAGAAACAGTATTTTCACTGGGGCTTGCTAACTACCTTAGCTCCGGGTAGGTGACAGACCCCGCCTCCAGGGAACAAAGCAGGGAGGGACAGAGAGGGACACCTGATGTCTTCTGACAGAGCCCCCACACTCACATGCATAGGCACTGAAACACGTGTGTGCATACACCATGCCACACCTGTGTGTATGTGTGTATGCACGTGTACATGTGTCTGTATGCGGTCTTCAGGAAGACTGTTGCAGGTGGTATTACTACAGTGCTAATGGTGTTTGTTTCTGACTAATGTTACTAGAAGAATTGCTTTGCTTTGGGTTTTTTGAAACAGGGTCTTCCTGGGATGGCCCTGAACTATCGATTCTCTGACACAACCTCCCAAGTGCTGGCATTTCCAGCATAAACCACCTTTCTTGTCTGGCTATTTGGGGGGGGGGGGCAGAGAGGGTTGAGACAGCATCTCGTGTAATCTACGCTAGCCTCAAACTTTCCACGTAGGGAAGAATGGCCCTAACTATCCTGCCTCCACCTCCCAAGTGCTTGAGATTAGAGGTGTGTATCTCCACACTTGGAGTTTTTTGTCGTTTTTTCTTCTTTATACTTATATAGTTAGCATCTTTAACTTTTATAACTTAAAA